GTCCTGTACCATTTTGCAATTTTCGTAATAGTTAACGAGTAATTAATTATTAAAAATCGTTGTCTTAGGCCGGCCTACCGCCCAATTCGAGCGCGTGGCAAGATGTGACCGCCTGGCGATCGATATTGCTATGCGCACATCTCGCCACGCGCTCGAATTGGGCGGTAGGCGGCCTAAGACAACGATTTTTAATAATTAATTAATTGTTAACTATTACAAAAATTGAAAAATGGTACAGGACTTTTCCATTCATCTCGATCCGTTTCTACCTTCTCAAAAATTTTGTCGGATATGGAAAGACTCACCCTGTATACATATTGTATATAAATATTAAAATATTAAGAATTTATTTTATATATATTTTAAGAAAACTGTGAAATCTCTTCGATTGGAAAAAAAATGTACGATCGCGGATCTATGTCGGCGAGACAATCGCCATAAAAATATAACAATCGTTGTAGTATCGTGGACACTTGAATGTAATTTCAAGAAAGATTGTCGACAGGTAACTTATTGCAGTTTAATTATGTATACTCGAATATAGCTTATTTTTCCGCTGAGAGAGCGTTTTCGCCAAGCCAACTTGACATTGACATTCAGACCTACTTTATTCCCGCGAGTCGTTTTGCAACCGCCGTTTTCACGCCAATATTTTCGCTTGAAAACGCTTTGCGTGTATCACCTTGTCCGGGGTTGATATACGGTAGCTACGCGATGTATCGTTGCGCGCTCCCGGTATCAATATCAATATTTATACATTTGCGCTCGGCGGTACGTACGATGCTAAATCCCGCGATACGTTATCGGCGCGGCGAGCGTCTGTATTACAACATCGTTGTATGCACCGTGCATTATTGCGGTTCAACCATTTCCCGTACGTTACGTACGTATCCTGCATCTTTTATAAACGACGCTTTGTTTCGCTTATCTACCTGTCGACGATCGGCGATAGATTAAATCGAAGTTATATTATTCGCTGCGTGAAAAGACGTTGATTTTTCAAATATTACCACGTAGTTCGGCACAATAGCGCGCGTTCGATATTCTAGCGCTGATAAATAATCATACGCCGCGCATAATCTCAAGATGTAGATATCCAGACGCGTTTAAACGAAGGCCCGACAATATGATTCGGAGCAAAAAATCCGCGCCCTATTACAATTTCAAATGAAACATGTACGCCGCTGGATGACAACCGGGTCAACCAGATATCAAATTGCGCAAAGAACGCGTAATGTCTAATTAAATGTATGTAGGCATACCGAGATTGGACGATGATATTTCGAAAAGAAGACAATCCTGGGAATTCCAGGCCTGCTGGAATGGTGCTGAGAGTTTTTCATATTAATAGGGCCGTACAAAAGCACGTGACTAACTTTCATTTTTACGCATAAGAATAATCTTTGAATATATATGCGATATTCCTCTCTCCCCTCCCCTCCCCCCTTATATAAAGATATGCATCGTACATCCATACAATAACATCAATAAATTTTTCCAGAGGGATACAGGATCTTCTCTCTCTTACATTGCCCACGGGCGAAGAACGTTTCCGTCGTTAAGGCGCATGTAAGCGGAATAGAACCCGGCGTTTCTAGCGCCGAGAGGCGTGAAACCGACATTTGTCATCACGAGCCAAAAATATATTACGTGATGGCATGGATTAGAGCCTCTCTCTTTCCCCCCACTGAGGGAGAAAAAAGTTTCCTCGGGCCACGTGGGAGTTGGACGGGGGCCGCATTGTGCGTCCGATCTCACGAATGGCTCGCGAGGCAGAATTTCTCACGCCGCGCGAGCGATCTTGAAAGTAATATTACGCTGTGCGCTTTTTGATTTAGTAAGGTAGCCGGGTCACGATCTCGCCGGATAATGGCGGTGCTATGCTGATTAGATTAGATAGAAAGGCCGCGCCTTATCGATAGTCAGAATAAGAGACGCCGATAAGGCCCTTTCGTATTGGCATCGATACGACGATTTGAATAGATATCGGGGTTTTTGGGTGGCATCGAAGTTATTTACGGTTGTGGCGCAGTACAATTTCTTTTGCCAATCTGATAATGCTGATAAATTTGTTCTACTTTTGACTCTCTAAAAGTCAATCAGTGGATTTTCACTGAAAACCGCGAATAGTTACTGATTTACAGTTATAACTGCAAATTAGTGATTTCAGTGATAATCCACTGATTGACTTTCTGAGAGAAAATCTTTCTATTGAAACGTAAAATAGAAGATTTCAATGAATGGTTTATCTTTCAAATTTCCTAATTGGAAACTTAATGTAAAATAACATTTGTGTTTTTATTACTATTTTCATTAAATTGAGTGTCATTTTTGAAAAATTGTATCCTCTCTATGAGACGTATTAATTATTGAAAATTTTTATTGTAAAAACTAATACAATCGAAAAATAAAGAAACAAGAACATACGAGCTATGTATTTAAATATCGATTCAAATCGTGACTCTTCTCTCTGCAAGATCCGTTTGAATAAAACGTCGGAAAAACTACAATAATCATGGCGAAAGTTTACTCACCTTATGATTTCGTGGCGTCTTCGAGAGGTTGCTGCGTCCGTTGATGAGAATATTGTCGTTGAGAAACGATACGTCGCAGGGCGACGGTGGACCCCCGGAGATCTCCCACTCGGCGTCGTCGGTCGTGGACGCATCCAAAGTAGCATCGAGCACTATAATGCCACCATCAGTAACCTGTAAAAAAAAAAGTAACAGTGGAATGAGTTTCGAAAGAGAAATGCTATCATACAGAAACGTCGCGATAATTTAAAAAGGGTGAACGAGCTGTGACGACGTCCGAAATGTATTTTGAAATACACATATCTTATCTTGTTTTGAAGAGCTTTAAAATTAATGAAATTATTCTTTGCATGTATAATGCAATGTAAAGTTACGAAATCACTTACTCTCTAAAAGTCAATCAGTGGATTATCAGTGATAACAGTGAATAGTCGCTGATTTACAGTTAATACCACTGCAATTTTCAGTGATCCTTCACTGATTGACTTTTAGAGAGTACAAACGCATGAATAACTTTACCAATCAATATCATTTTAATAGTTAAATATGAGATACCAAATTTGTTTAAAAAAAATATTTACTAATACGTTAACATTTGGCTTTACACGCTTGTCTTTAAATTAAATTAAGATCTGTTTAAATATATATCTATCACAAAATTCATCTGTGATTAAAACAATCGATTTTGAAATCGGCTAGAGGTTTTTTGATTATTTATTTCATAAGATTAATATAGAAAGTCCTCTGTTATATGAGATGGCAGGTTTTCAACATCCAAATTCAATCACAAGTCTTTTTCAGCAACGATTACACAATCTAACAATGAATTTTCCATTAAACCGATTTCGCTCCGAGGACAATGAATAGGGGACTTTCCTCTACACACGATACTAGTGTCGATAATTTTACTTTCTTGTTTGTTCAATTTTTAGTTTAATTGAATCAGGATTTAACGAAGAGATACGCCTGGTTATCTTGATTTTCAGCGAACTGTAAACAGAATTTTTGATGTTTCAGCACAAACTCAACTTTTTCACTTAGTTACACGCGCAAATCTTTCCTCATGAATGTATATTAACATTCTGGTGGACTAGGACATGCATTCGGACTCGAGCGCAAATAAGCGCACGTGCAAATACGCAATTCTCTACGACTCGAGAAACACCCGCGGCGATTCGGGAAAGTTGTTTCCGCGTGAAAATATGAGGGTTTGCTCGGAAAAATGCACCTCTTCCTAACCCACAATTAAAATTAACGTCATACGCGAGACTGGCAGTGATTAATGCACAGCTCGCGTATAGTTTTGACGCAAACTTCCTCAAGCTTTCGCTCATGGATATTGAACGACGACATCCGTTACTGAATTTTATTTCACTTTTTGAAGAGTACTGTTTAAAATTTCGTATAAAAGTTGCGCAATTAGTAAATTTTTCAAGTCAAATCATATCAAGAATAAAATATTGTTTAATCGAGTTGAATTATTTCATCTATTTTTCTACTCAAATCACATGATGATAAGCATTGTCTTCGAGTCTTATATTAAAAACGTGTCATATGTATTCAATTTTTCATGCATTATTAACATTGTATTATACTTTGCGTTGAAATTCCATTGAAGATAACATCAAGTTACTTTCAAGGCGTAATTGGAAAGATATAAAAATTGCGAAATAAAAGTATAGATGGGAATATTTCGTCTTCACTTCTTGGAAGTAAAGACTGCAAAACGAAGATCGAGGCACACGGTACGCGTCTCCCGCGTCTTCGTTTCTTTATTTTTCTACTGAAAAGAAGTACGAGGAACTCGTTTTCCAACCGAGCATAAAATGTGTCATCGCAGTTCGAAAAAAAAAAAATGCCTCGACAAAGTATTTTCGTTGCATGTACAATCGAGCGAAGTAAATTACAGCCTCGTGATGTTTTCTCCGCGTACAATTGCAAATTATCCCCGAAGTGATCTTCGGGTGTCGGGAGAGGAGGGAACGGGACCTGTCCTGCGATGTTATTTTACTCCTTTTGTTAACAATGGAGACGTTAACTGCGGACGATTCGATCGTGCTCTCGAGCATGCCGGGACGACGGTTACATTCACGCGAGACGTCAGTCGGTCATTACGGTTACCGCCTTTCATGACTCTCGTGAATGGGACATCCTGCCGAGTCGAAGAAAAGAGGGAAACGCGAAACGTGAGTGATACGAGGTAATATGGATAAACACTCGTATCGAGCCGTCCTTCGAGGGAGGGCCTGCTCCCGGTTTCTCTCTCTTTCTCTCTCTCTCTCTCTCTCTCTCTCTCTCTCTCTCTCTCTCTCTCTCTCTCTCCCCTCCCTCCCTCTCTCTCGGTCTGTCTGCCTCTTCGGCCGAGTGAGTTCCCTCGCGAAACAGGATATGCGAAAGAGAAATGCCATAACTTTGTCGCGGACTTGAGAATTATCTGGCATCTGTCGTCCGCGCGGACATGTGCTTCGTTCCTTCAAGCAACGTCACATTTCACATTTATTCTTACTTACGTGCAGTGATAGTTCTCGAAATATTAAAATGCGATAAGCACGCTAAATCGTGGGAATCTCAATAAATACAAGTATTATTAATAAATACAAAAACATATACTGTTTATATATATATAAATCTTTCGGGAAATATACTTTTTAAGTGCAGATATTTGATTTTTAAATAAAAACCTATTTGCTTGTGCGCGTAATGTTGGTATGGAAAATGGTAATGGCAATAAACAGTAATCATTCTTAGAATAGCGTGTCAAGACGCCACGTTTGTGTATCATATTGTCATGCAATTTTGTCTATTACTTTAATATATAAACATCAACTTTCAGTATTTTGCGTGCTTTTGTGACAATGCATGATCACAAATATTCTCGCGCGAAACTTTCGGTAAATTCCACATTCGCGCGGTGGAGAGCCGCGTGTGAAAATCGAGTGGCTTTACGTCGGCGGGGACGACTCGATCGATTTCCGGTCTACTTCCGGCGATCGCCGCAGGGGGATCGACGATTTTCGAAAGTGATATTTTTTTTTTGGTGGTAATCTGCCTCGCTGCTCCCTCCTTCGTGTCGCGCGACGATTTGGGTTGAACGTTCGTTAATCCAGAGAAAAATGCGGTCACGGATCATAAGACGCAGCCGCATTACGGACGAGCAACGATCGAGGCCGAGCAGCATAATATCTGTATTTGAATATAAAACACGGTATGCCGATGCCATGTGCCGGTGAAACGAGATGAGCGAACAAATATGTAGCGATTCCGTGTCGGAAATCTATTATTTCCCCGTCCGATACGTACTTTGACAAAATCTGTAATTTGCGAAAGTTCTAGATAACAGTCGCGTATCTGAGTCAAATGAACTGTCCGAAGTCACTTTCCTCGGAATACAGAAACCTCCGGTCGAACGATAGAGTTCCAACGATAGGACATCGGAAAATATGAGAAATTGACAATAAAATAAATGTCACTACTAATTTCATACGAATAACAATTTTATTCGCGCAAAACTACCAGCTGGACGTTATCTTAAGACAATTCCAATTTATTTTGTGATTATCTAAATTTACTAATTAGTCTTAAAGATAGTCGTTAAGGAAATGAAAACTTTGAATGTTCATTAAAGAATATGTCGGTCGAGAGAAAGTGCGCAAAGACTTCCACAGAAAATCTCCTATATCTGATGAAATTCTGTTTGACTCGCGGTTTGCCTTGTTAAGCTGCTATTTAGAAATTCGTAATATCGCATGGTAAATTAAAATACTAATAATTATTTCCACATGCCTCGGTGGTCGAATTGCGACGCCCGCCTAGTGAAAGAAAGGTCCAGGTTCAAACGCCGGCTGAGGTAATATTTTTCGTAATACATTTAAAATATGAAATATTTAGACACTAACACCCTGTCACGGCTCTTAGTTCTTTATTCCTTCAAATTTGTGTTTATCACATTTGAGCCGTGAGCCACGAATTTTAATTAATTTATTAATAATTATATTAATGCACCTGCGTGTGCCCAGTCAGCAGTTTTGTAAGCTGGACACGAGGAAAAAAGATTCATTAACTGAAGCGTGAGCTTTCTATCTGCATGTAAATCAGTAGATTGCAGATTAGTAATTGTTCGTGTGATTGATTGCAACGCGAGAAAAATGCAACGCGCTCTGTATTCCCGCCGGGCTGCTAACTGCCGCAGATTAATGTGTCGGATTCATTACGCAGGTAATTCCAGCGGATAAAGTGTCGTGAGAAAAACTGTGAACTCGGCGTCTAGCGTATAATCTCGTATTACGCCCAGGCAAATGGGCGGATTAAATCTGACAAGCTGGCATTAATGTTAATGCGGAACGATTTAAGTAAGCTGTCGATCGCTGTCGCGTGGTAGTAATTAGTCTCGGCGGCAACAATGCGCTTCTTCGTCTCGGTGCATATTGAAATATATTATCCGCTTACGATCGAAACAGCGAGCGGTGACGTTACGCTACTCGTATATTTACCGCGGTTATGCTCACATGTGCGTGACACCGTATCGGAGGAAACCGACATGTACGAGTTTTATAGGAAAGTAACGCTCACAATTCGAACAAAAATACTCGGACTTACGGTAAGGTCAATAAACTAATAAAGACTATTCTAAAAGTATGGAAAAATTGGCCCGGAAGCAGCTCCGGAAATATAAACTAAAGGTACAGACACACACACACATCCTGTATTTCGACACATTGCCAGCTCATTTTCTGTTGAGGTAAAACACGATTTTCATCCGTTCAACTGCTAAAAACATGTACATCTCGTAGAATAATATAATTGTCTGAAATAATTAACTGTAGCTTTATTGTTCAATACGTTAGCTCTTGTTTTCTCAATGTCACGTTGTTGGCTGAAATTTTCTGACATCGCTAAATTATATATTTATTCGCTCATTAACCCTTTGAAGTATACATTTTTCTATTGAACCATTTTTTGTAAAACTTTGTTTACAAGGGTTTTTGGGGTCGCTGATTACGAATCCGTTATCAGATTATAATTCAAAATGGCAGAATTCAAAACTTAAAAGAATAATATCATTCAACTGTAATTCAACTATGCTAGGAAACATTATTTAGATATTATTAGGACCCATGGACTCTAAATTCCAGTTGAAAATTCTTATAGAATATAAGAAATAGCGCGCGCGACAT